TTATTTTTTTTATTTTTTTTTTTTTGGGTTGGACAAATCATTCACTTGATTTTTTTTTTAAGATTTATTTATGTATGCATACAAGAGCTGGGGTACAGGCCAGAGGTGTGGGGGATGAGAGGATTCACCAGAGACAGAGTGGGGAGCAGAACAGGCAGACAGACTGAAATACACTGCTGAGGGGAGCAGCAGGTGAGTCAGGAGACGTCTGCTGTGCCATGTGGGTAGCTCCCTGTTTGGGGATCAAAATTGTGCTGCAGTGGCTGCAGATGGCTTCATAGATTGTGTATTAACCCCTTGCACCACCCGGAAGGCCCCACTTCATTCTGATATGGTCTCATAACACTTTGGCTATAACCCAAGGTAGAGGACATATAGCTTTCATTAAAAGAATTCTTATTTTTAAATGCTTTGCTGTCTTTTTTTGGTTACTGTTTTCTTTTAAATAAATCTAAATTCCACAAAATATTAACTTATCCATCTGTAACTTTTCTGTAAGCATTTATAAAAATGTTATACTTGATCTCATTGTGGAAACATGACCAAAATGACCCAAACATGGAATGAAAAATACAATTTCAAGCCTGAAAACGTTCTGTGACTCCTAAATCCAATTCCAGCATGTTTCTGGTGATTCACTCTGACAAGCTACTTAATATTTTAAGTCTTAGTTCTGTACGCAGCACTCTGCTTAGTAGATAACAGAGACCAATCGTTACTACTATTATTTTAACAATCATTTTTCCTTCTAGTAGGTAACTTCACCTCTGAGAATTTATTACAGAATCAGAGAAGTATAAGCTGTCTTCTCTGTAGGAGCTTATAATCATGCAAATCATTTAGTTCTCCTTCCTCAATTTAGCAATGATGCATTGGATTTAGAGAAAGCATAATGGGATATGCTTACTGTGTGAGGAGGGGCCTTACCTTGTTAGGTGCCATGTGGCTCAGGGACAGTGGTGTACTCTGTCACTCTTGGTTTACATGCTGAACCTCATAATTGTGTATGTAATTGATATAGAAGAGGGTTGTACTATGTATGATAGACAGATTGTACTATATTTGACAGTATCTCTGGATGTTCAAGCGGAGTAGCACACCAATCCCCACTTGTCACCATGAGACATGTCCAAATGTCCCCTATGGGGGAAAGTTACCCTGATTGAGAATCACTCTCCTAAATAAAGATTATGCTTATTTCTCTTCTTCATCCAATACTAGGATGTATTTTCCAGTACTCTTCCTGGACTTGCTCTGATTCCTTCTCAATTTCTCACTTGTACAACTAACACAAATATTGAGAATAAAATGCAAGGGGAGTTTCGATGTTCATTCTGGAATCAAGACTCCACAAGGGGACTGGTTCAATGACTATGGGCCCATAAGCATAAAAAGGCCTTGCAGTGTTTTCAAATGGTCACTGTTTCATACCACATCCCCCACAACACATCATTAATAAACAACCCAATAGTTAAAAGCAGAACGAGTGGTCAACTTGTGTTTAGAAGGTGTTAAAATAGACCTGAAAATAACAGAAACTATGCTATTTTTTTTTTTACTGGAGTATAAGAAATTATTAGTTAAAAACATTAAACTTTTTTCTCTTTGACAATCAAATTGTCAACCAGACAATTATTACCAACAAGTCTCACCTCTGAAAGTTGACCATACAAAGGAAATTATTAGAATATGGAAGGATTTTTTTTATTATGTGCTATTGTAGAGAACGGACATCAGAGATTACATTCCTAATCTATCCCCAACTCCAGTGGTGCAAGAGGGTATAATGTATCCACTTTTGTTCAGTCTATTTTAAGCACCCAAGTTTGAGGATAAAGAAATTAATGGGGTTTCCAGTAGTTCTAACTCACCCTCTGGGAGTAACCCATGCTGGGAGAACCTGGCTCATTATAGATGATTTTGTAGCATCAGTCATGCTATGAGATGACAAAGCTTTGTAAGACAAATATTATGGGTCAATCTTCAGAGACTAGCATGCCATGCAGCCAGCAATCCTCATTGGCAGAACAAAACTGAAAGTCCTTAATGAATTCTGTTTCCGCGGCAGCATACTCTCAAATGATGCACTAATAGCGAAAGAGCTAGAAATTCATACCAAGAAACCAACATGCCTTTTGGCAAGCTGGAGATCAGGGTCTGGTGCTGGGGTTTCAAACATTCTAAAGGAGAATGAGCAGGAGAGCCAGGCAAAATCCTTGTGCAAACTCTCCAGGCTGTCAGGTAGGAATCTGAGAGCAGCAACTTGAACATGAGAAATTTGTTTTTCTTCAAATGTAATTAGAGGTTAGTTGGTGTAACGATGAAGAGGACTCTAAAAGGGTAATGACTGTCAGGGGCCGGCCATAGTCACATTTTAGGGGATATAATTCTACTTTATGAGTCAATGTCTCTACTATATCAAACTTGGCAATTTAAGATGTGGCAGAATTTAAGACAATTAGCATAATAGGAGGGTTACCAGATGTCCTTGATTGCATGGGAATGAACCTGTATTTTGTATTTCTCTTTTTGGAAGGTAACCACATTACAGACTTTCTCAGAATGAATCATGTAGATCATGGTGTAAATCACCCGGAATATCAGGAAATCAGAGATTTAAGTGGTATAGGTAGAACATCTGGGGACATGAGAATATCCATGTTGTCTGTAAGGTTGAATTTATTTGAGGTACTGCTTTCTTATAAATACAGTTGTTCAGGGCTATGTTTCCCACTCAGTTTTCTAAAACTTTGGCAAATACATTCAAAACTTAGAACCCTGGCTTTCCCCCCCATAGATTCTTTAGTTTTACTCAAATCTTGTACATTGTTTCTTATCTTACATTTCTATTTTTCATTCATCAGAAAACTTAGTTTCCCACATTTTTTCTCCCACTGTTTTTTGGAATCAAAGGAAAGATTATGAAAAGGGAGAAAGTGATTTCAGACTTTGTTCCCTAAAAATCTGGAGGTTTCACAAAGATGGTGCCTGAGCTGCGTGTGGGATGGGACCACAGGGAGAGGAAACAGCTTTAGGGTCCCCATTCAAACTTCTGGGACAGCAATTTCCAAATACCTCATTAAGAAAGCTTTCTGCAACCATCCATATCTCAGCAATGCTAGACTCTACAATGCTATGGGGTGGAATATATGACAATAGAAAAACAATCACACAGAAAAACAAAGTAGGGAGAGCATCTAGTGCTACTAAGTATTTCCATGGAGCAAGGTGATTAAAAAAAATACATTGTACAAATGGGTAAGCATGTATCTCTACTGTGAAGCCAAAAAATCTTAGATACCATTGTCTAAAATGATTTCTCTTTTGTTGCCCCAAATTTTCTATGGCTAAAAAATTATTTTAAAGAAAAAATATTATTTTTAATCATGAAGTTATTTTGACTGGATATAACTTTATTCTTTCATAACATAAAAATTATACTTTGTATATATAAGTGAAATTAATGTTAAAATTAAATAAATTTATAACAAGACATTTTAAAGATCTGTCCTACCTTAATACAAATAGGGTTAAGGTGTAATAGGATATGATGTCAAAATATCAATGCTTTTTAGTGACAATAACATACTGTAGGGCATGGGTTATTAATTATTTTTATCCAAATATCCTTCCTTCTTGAGGAAATGATTGCCTCCCAAATGTGTGTGTTGCAGATATGATGAAAGTTTATTTCTTAAGTTGATTGTAAAAATCTTCTTACATTTTCTTGTGAAAAATATTGCTTTTGCTGAATCCAAATTGTATGTTTTTTTAAAAATCTTAGCATAGTAGAAATACACATAGAGAAATAGTTTGGACTGTCAGCTTTTGACTACTCAAAAGAGAATCTTATTAAACAATTAACATGTTTCTAATTTTCCATTAAATGTTAACTTATATAGTGAATAAAGCAAGAGATATATTGTTAAGATACAGTTTTTTTTTAAATTAACATTGAGCACATTACTGAAGAAAGATTTTCAAAGTTACCTTGTAATCTTAATAACAATTTAGTAGCAAAAAAGAATTATTAGACAAATACACTGGAAATACATACTTATAATGAAATGATAGTTAAGTCCAAGTCAATTGGAATACATTTTTGTAAAAATATTGCTTGTAAAAGTAAAATTTGTTGTTTAGAAATGTATTTTCAGATGACTTTATTTATGATTATGTATGTGTAATTCAAACTGTATTATGTTTCTTTCTGTGTTTGGCAACATCCAACCTTGAAAAGTAAAATTAGAATTTAAGAAATGATGCAAGAAAAAGACTTCTCCAATAATATTTGCCCCAGTGAGCTGGGTAATTCTTGTAAATTGGTCTTCTGGCCTGAGTGATTTAGATAATTACTTAAGTTCACAATTTCAGGTTGAATATTGAGATACTACTCAATATCAGGGACATGATGGTAAATGGCTGGTTTCATTGTTTCTGCAGGAAATTGATCAAATATTGTGTAAAATAGTCTATTTGACTCATGTATTGTTATCATATAATTGGTAATTGTTCAGAAGCAGTGTCTCTCTAATTTAATTACATCTTTTTCCTATTGTTATTTCCAAATATTTGATGGATTAAGAAAGATTTGTTCGACAATGAGAATTTTCAATAAGCATTACAACATGTCTCTCGTCAATATGAAACTCAAAATATTCTTTATTCACTCAACATGAGCCAATGATCAGAACACCTATAAACCTTAGGGGGAGACACAAATACATTCTTTCCTGTGATGAGGAGAGGATGTTTTTGCTTTTCTGTAATTGAAATTTTCCTTTTTCTTTTTTAGTAGTATTTTTAACTTATGGTGTACACTGAAAACTACTTTTCACTTCCCTTTTGTAGTTTTTAATTCATGAAAATAAACTAAAGCTGGGAGATTATAGTTATAATATTTCTTATTTATGAACAGAAAAGAATCTTATTAGCTATTGCAATTTAGTCTTTATTGTATTTTAAATTAACATATTCATGTTTTTGTGACTTTTTAACAGGCAATAACTTCAAGTTCTTGTGGTGGATATAGATTTCTGCTGCACAGAAATAACAGTAAGTGCTTATGTATATGTAATAACTTTTAAAGACCTACAACATCTCAATGTTTAGCTACTATGCTTTAATGCATGAACAAGTCAATATGATTATTTAAATTCAGTCTGCCATTTTATAATTTTGATAAAGTTTATTCACTCTAATGCTATTTCCCATGGGATTTTAATAGATTAATGTTTGGCCATTAAAATAATGAAGAAAAATGAACTATAGCCAATTCTTTCCATTGTGTCCAGGGTGTTTATATAAATTTCACATATGCATTTACAACATTGATTATCTTTTTAATTAGCTGATATACTGGGTCTCACTTTTCTGTGGTCTCTGATGTTTGTCAAATTTTGGATTGGGGGGGCATTTGTTTTACATTAATATCTTCTTTTGGAAAAACTCAGATGTGTCTTTTGTAATGTGACATTTTTGAAGTTGTTTTCATGCAAATATGAGTCAATACTCTTGCATTAATCTCACAGTGGGTGTGAGAGTGACAGCTTTCTCCAAATTGGAGTTAAATCCTAAAGTAGGAAGGAGCAATGTCACTTTCTCTGGAATATATTTTCATAGTGGTTTGAATCTGTGTTTATTTCAGCTGTGAACATAAGTAACTTTTGTTTTACCTGTTTTCCCGGGTTATGGTGTGCCTTCATTTTCATTAGTGTAATTATTTGGGAATTATCTCTATTTTAGAATGAACAGGGGAATATAAGCCTGCTGCAGGCTCTGTGTGTGTCCAGAAATTAAAGTAATTTAAGATATGAGGTTTAAAATGGAAACTGTACTTTGAGGGAAAAGATGTAATTCACTGCCAGAGGTAGCTATCTCTCAGAAACTTCTAGAGAGCAAAACATGACCTCCAGATTCTGAATTCTTGATTTTCTTATCTATTCAGTGTCCTGGTATTTAATCTGCTTAGGAAGGTTTCTTGGTGCTGCCCGACCTGGGCTGTGTGTTGGCTGCTCCTCTTTACTGAAAACCACTTCTTGATTCAGCAGTGAAGCTTTTGGCAAAACTCCCACCCATTGGTCTTCAGTGTGACACAGCCCCTATAGGCCATTGCAGTGTCTTCCTTGTTAGTTCATAGAATACCTAATGATTGTGCTTATAAAATGCCTTCAAGTCTCATGTAGAGATACGTTGTATTATAAAAGACATTTTCTATTGGGAGGATTGCAACTCTGCTTATTTATTAATAGAGTTATAGATAAAAGGCTTTGGTGAATGAACTTTTGATTTTCAGAAAATGATAACTAGCTTGGTGATATCCTAAACATGATATAAAATTATTCATAAATAACTCAAGTGACTGCTCATCCCACTGTGAATAAGGAAGAGGAGAAACGCCCTCATAGATGAAAAGTGTGAAAGTGTTCATTTCCTTTTAAGTGAGACCACATATTTATAAATATCATTATATACTGTTCAAACTCCTTTTGCCTTAGATGTTCCTAGTATATATTTTTTAATTTTCAAATCATGCTTATATTTACTAGGAATAATCAGATATAAATGAGTGTATAAATAAATATATATACTTATGCAAATACATTATTTTTCATACCTACTTATGTATATACATACACATGTCAGAGAAGTCATCTTTTCTTACGGTCTGCAATTGGGAAATTTGAATATACATACAGAATATTATTCAATTTTGAATTATTCTATTTTTTATTTTATCTCTAAATCCTGTCTTGGTCTGAACTTATTCTGTCATGTATTCATATGTGTGTACTTCTCCGGTAACTAGATGTATAGTAACGGGCGTTGAGGATGTGGGGCAGAAAATAAAGATCCTGTCTTCTAACCACAGGCACTGGAGAAGGTGTCAGATTCAACAATTAATAAGAAACTCAATCCATTGTGGCAGGGGTTATAGACAGCAGGATGCTATGATTTAAAAGCAGAGAATGAGTACTCAGCTAATCCTGAAGGGCTCAGGAAACATTTTTTGGAGAAGGTAGAAGGTATTTTGTCAACCATAATAGGCATATGTAACTGAGATGGTGATGGTGGTGGTGGATGTATTTGTGATGGGTGTGTGTGTGTGTGTGTGTGTGTGTGTGTTTTCCAAAGTACGTACAGGGGTAAAGAACACAGTTTACAAAGAAAAGGCTGTAGGAATCATTGCTGTCTATGAATGGAGGACTGCATGCAGTCTGTGGCAAGATGAAGGGAGCAGGAGAACATTACATGCTTAGACAGCATCTAGTAAATGTTGTAGTGTGGCAGGAAATGAGAATTAGAGCATCAGATTACATCTATAGCTGTGCTGAGGAGCTTGCATTTTGTCCAATTCCCACCCCTACCCCCTTGAAAACAAAAAAGAACCCCAATGGATTTTACAACAGTAAAGAACTTTGGAGGTGTATTTTGGAATAGATGCAATAGACCAATAGAATTGCAATTTTGAAGAAGAAGGACTAGAAGAGAGAGAGAGAGGTAGACATGGAGATAGGAACACCACTTAGTAGTTAATAGTGTTAGTAGTTAGTAGACTTGTCAAAGGAATTGGCTATGTGGGGAGAGTAAAAGACTTGAAAAGCTCCAGAACTGACCAGTGGAGACCAGGTTATTTATGTGAAGTTTTCATCCAGGCTGTGGAAGTGAACCTATGGGATGATTATTGATTGGAAGGGCCATGACAATGGCAATAGGCTAAAGGGGAAAAATGGCTTAATGTAAAATAAATAGTTGTAAGTGAAGAAAGATCTAATTCAATTTAATGCACTAGACTCCCTCTCTTATTCCTGGTTGGAGGTACCAGGAGTAATTTTGGAGCCCAGTTCAAAACCCATGTTGAACCAGTTGGCGGTAGTGGTTATGCGTAATGACCCATGGTCCATAAACTTGCCAAATTTTCCACTGGTGTCGTGTGGGTACTAAATTTAATTAAGGTTAAATGAAATTAAAAATGCAGTTCCTCAGTTGCACTTAACATATTTCAAGTGTTCAAAAGCCAAATCTTAATGGGCAACACAGATACTGCCAGAATTCATATAGGATACTTTTAAGAGCACTGATAAAAGAATGCCATTTTGAACCACAAAATTAAATTTATAATTAAATATATGTTGGCATTTATATCTTTCTAACACTTTTAGAAGTAGAGACACTAATCATATTATTATTTCATAACTATACTGGTAAATAATATCTAAATTTTAATTGGTATCTATTTTAAATACTCAGATTTACAATTCAAATGTTTTTAGTTTCCATCAATGAGAGGCATAACTCTGGCCCTTACAGAACTGACAGAGTCCATGGTAACAGATCAAAAGGGTCACTATGAAGCAAGACAATTGTAGGGGCAGGACGGCCCACTGAGCAGGTTTTCTATGATCCAGCAGACCGGGTAAAGAAGGAGAGCCCTGGAGCCCTCGGTGGGTTTTGCAGGCTTTTATTGGGATTTACCAGATACATGGCAGGCAGGGGTGCTGGGGGGCCAGGAGGCTGGCAGGCCTCCCAGCCCCCAGCAAATCTTCACTCTTTCTGGGCTCTCTGGCCTTCTCTGGTGGTCTCTGCTTCTCTGTTGTGTTCATTCTCTCAGCTTCTGCTGGTGTCCCCATGACGGCGCCCTTAAAAGCCCAGGCTGAGCCCAGGTGATCCCATCTACCTAAGCCCACACCCTACTCCAGGTGCCCACCATCAGGCATGCATTCGGGACCACAGGGTTTCATCATCTATCCTAATGGTGGGAGGGCAGAAAAGCCTGATACTTACTACCTTACCCTACAACAATTTTCTCAAAATCTCGGATTTTCTTAATGCATTTTCAGAATCACTATGTTCGTTTTTAAATTTATTACTAAAATTGACTGATGTCAGTTTCACTAAAAGATGATAACATTTGGAATAACAGAATCTTATTAGTGTGTAATTTGCGGTGTTCAATATGTAAAATATAGTTTATTACTCCTGACCCCTTAAAATGTATGAGATGGAAAAATCGAAAATATCAGCCTTTAACAGTAGTGTTGCCAAATGATGTGATATCTTATTTCCGAGGGAGATGTACTTTGATCTTACAGGGAAAAGCAAAGTTATTCTTTATTCTAATTGCACACAGCTGAAGTTCATTACATGTGGTCTGGAGGTTAGAGAGTGAGCCACACCTGCTGCCATGTTCATTATAAACAGATTATTTGAACTTCCTTTACCATTATTTTCAGATGAGATACTCATGTGGAAAAATCATCGGGAAATAATGTAGAAAAGGAAGCTTTGAATAGACTGTTTAATTTATAACTAAAGCCCTGGTCTATTTTTCACAGAACCCTCCCTATGATAGTATGTACTGGCTGTAAGCTCTGTGTATGGTTATTTGTCTAATACTATACACATTTCATTATTACTTAGATTAAAAAAGTCCATACTTGACTGTGATCTAATTGAAGAAAAGTTTATCTGTGTCATCATCTGACTCAACTTTGACATTTAAAAATTAATTTTAGTTCTACCCTGGCATGAAAATGTCATGGTTTGTCGTGTAGACATACTTTTCTTCTTACTGTGCAAATTAATCTAACATGTTGTTTTTAGTATCACATTTTTTTTGCTTGCAGTTCTTCAGGGAGTACACTGAACCTGCAGAATAAAAAGTTACAAAATAGTCCAGCATTCCAAGCTTTTTCTGTCTGTCCCAGCCTACAATAAGCTTGTACCCAGTCAGTTAAATATGTCCAGTCTTTGGGCAGGGCATGGCTGTTTTGTTATTTTTCCAAATCCCTTCCACTTGGTAAAGGCATTTGCTTCCCCAACTACAGCCTTTCTGCTGTTTCTCCCTATAGACTTAGTCTTTAGGGTCTAAGTTTACACAGTGATCCTGATTTTTTATGGAATTTATCAATCACATACATCTATATGTTCCCTTGAAAGTACTTTCTCAATGAAATTTTATTAATAAGCAAAATTTGTTTTAGTCACGGTCTCAGCTTGCCCAAGGGCAGATGTCATAGAATGAGCTTCCAAGACTATATTGGCAAAAGGGCACA